CCATTACCAGAAACATATTAGAGAGGCCCTGTATATTAAACATCTCTCTCCTACTATCAACCATACCTTATTTAACAGTGGGAATAGAGTATTAAATTTTTTTTAAGAATAGAAAAACTCTCTCGCAAATTCCAGTCATACACAACACATGGAGGCTTGGAATAAGCGCTCATATTCAAAACAACACAGAAACATGAGGGAACACAACAAAACAAAACAACGCAGTAAAAACACGAGGGAAAACTAATAACACCAAAAACAAAACCTCTTTGAAAATGGCTAAAGTGGCCAAAAGCATTTGAGACAATGAAAATTGTGGAAAATTTTTGTACTCCTTTACCAAACAGTAAACCATAAGAACACTGGAAATAAAAAATGAATTAAAACCTTCCTTGTCTTTTGTAATTACACTCCTTTCCCGAACATTTTTGGAGATCAAAAAGTGGATGTAAGCATAGTAATGCCACATGTTTTCTCGGAGAAAAAATTTATAATCATAGTAGGCAGGCTTTTGTTCATCACTGTGAACCTCATTCCACATGCTGGAGACAAATATCCCATGAATAGAATTTTACTACCCTTTCTGACCACATGAGGATTAGGTTTGGTGAAGTTCACTTCTCTCCATATGAAACTTTAACAAATGAAGCTGAAACTTCAATTTAAGTAATTTTTATCATCAGGTACATAAAAACAAAAATAAATGCTAAGAACTCTGAATTATAAATCTCATTATTTTTTTTCTATTATTTTAATATATATATATATATATATATATAATTTTATTTTGTAATGTGTACATTACACAGACGTAACTCAGAAGAAAAATATTATTATAACTTTCATGTTTTAATCTGAGAAGACTTAAAATAATTAAAATAAATTCTTTTTGAATTTATATGTCAGATGAATTAGATCGTGATTACGATTCCAATGTAATAAATTATAACCATGGAATATTAGTGTTTGAGCCTTTTACATATATATATATATATATATATATATACAATAATACATAATTGGTAATTGATAGGGATAATTCCAAGGGGGAAATTTATCCAAAAAGAGCTGAGTGTAAGTTACAGAGCAATATTATAATAAGTCAAGAAAATCCTTAAAAGTTCATGTTGGTTATAATTTATTTCATGAATATATTTAAATATTCATCTCTTCAGACTGAAGGTTTTTAGAAATCTAATTTTTTTCTAAAAACCTTCAGTCTGAAGAGATGAATATTTAAATATATTCATGAAATAAATTATAACCAAGATGAACTTTTAAGGATTTTCATGACTTATTATATATATATATATATATATATATATATATATATATATATATATCAACATCATCATTTGATAAGACACTGGGTGTGTTGAAACAAAATGGCTATTTTTGTAGTGATTTTATAACATAAACATTATAATATATATATATATATATATATATATATATATATATATATATATATATATAAAAAAATAAAGGAGGCACGGAGGAATCGCAGAGCCGAGTTCGAATTCCAGTCGAATCCACTGCATTCACTTACGTGCTAATACCCTTGGGAAAGGTATGTATCCTCGTCATCTCCCTCCAGCTATGGGTAAAATAGCAGGACAGACTGGGTTCTATAGCCTTGGATGGCAACTGGTCTAGGAGAAGGACAACTCTGAATTCAAAACCTGCAGAGGGTCGTTTGGGAACCTTGTGGCATGTATTCGTTGCACCAGGTTTCTGTATTCGTCCCTCCAAAAAGTGTGACTGGTCCTGCACAAGGCCTTCACCACTATAAACAAATCTCATGTGCCGGTGTTGGGACGTCGGTTTCCTGGGGACTTATCGGCCTGACCCTCATACGTCGAACGCGACGGGAGAGTCGATTATATATATATATATATATATATATATATATTAAATGGTATTCTTAAAAGGGATGATTTTTTATTAAATTAGATTAGTTTTAGACTAGGTGTTTGCCACTATTAGGTTTGTAGAGATACTGTAGAAAGCTTTTTGTGGAAACTATTCCTTCACCCCACATCTCACCGAATAAGTGGGATCCCCAAGCTGAGTTCAATTCTGTCCAACTTTGTTTCAGTCACTTCATGCTAATACCCTTAGAAAAGGCATGAATATATCTTCTCAAACTACTGGACAATTACCAAAGCAGACTGTGATCTCTTGCCATGAATTGGCAACCAGTCTAGAAAAACTCTAAATTCTGGGCTGAGAATGACTATTAGAAGATTTTGTGGCACCCTGTACACCATTTCTCTGTCATTAGTTCTTTTGAAAAATGTGGCTGGTTCTACACAAAGCTTCACTTCTATAATCAAATCTTCACTGAGGGTAATCTAGCAGTTCATCTGAAAAGCTGAATGGGAACGGACAGATAAAGTAAAAATTTGTATATTTTAATTCCGATTTTCTAGTACCCTTACAGTTTTTCATTTATGAGGATTAAGAGCTGTGGATAATACTGTCATTTAAAAAATATCAAACTAACAATGAATTGCTACTACTACTACTACTACACACCGGAGCATAGAATTCAAAAACAGACATAACGTAAAAAGGAAATACTACTACTTTTATACAACACAGCATAGAATACAAAAATATACTAAAAACAAACGCCTTGAAAATCCTTAAATTCAACCAATAATGCTTCAGAAAATAATAACTATGAACAATTTCTACACACACATTAGTGTCGCTGACAAAACTAACCTGGCCGCTCGTCTTGAAATGGACCTCCAATCGGTTGTTAACTGGGGCAAGGATTGGCTAGTCAACTTTAACGCCTCAAAAACTAAACTACTCTCTATTAACCACCATAGAGATCCTTCCCTGCCCCCCATTAGAATGTCTGATAGTCAACTTCTTGAGAGCAACTCTCTGCATCTGCTCGGTCTCACGTTGACTGCTGACCTGAGATGCAAACAAATACATTGAGTCAATTGCTTCTTCCAATCGCGAGGAAAGTTGGCTCTCTGTGCCGCCGCCAGGAAATTTTTTTTCCCCGAATCGATACTTCAAATATACAAATCAACCATTCGCCCTTGCATGGAGTATTGCTGCCATATATGGTCTGGTGCACTTTCTGTTTACCTCGGAGTTTACCTCTCTCTGTCTTTTCTACAAATACTTTCATGGTAATTGCTCTGAAAAGCTGCTTTCACTGGTTCCCAGACTTCATGAATTTAAGCGCCCTACGAGACTGGCATCCCGCTCCCACCCTTTCACTGTTGAAACTTTTAAATGTAGCCGTCTCTTCTACTCCAATAGCTTCATACCTCACACCTCTCGCCTGTGGAACACCCTTCCCTATTACTGTTTCCCTGAGAGCTATAATCTCCAACTATTTAAATGTAATGTCAATCGACATCTCCAGTTACCTTGATCTACCCACTATCCCTCTCCTCATCCTTTCTTCTATCACTCCTATCTGCTCTCGCTCCAAATCTTCTGCAACCCCCTGCATCCTAGTGGCTTCACACCTTGCTTGGGGGCGTAATGCTTAAAAAAAAAAAAAAAATGTGTGTATGTATTTGCATGTCTTAGTGTGTGTGTGTTTGTGTGTGTGTTCCTGTATATGCATGTTATATCAAATAGACTGGATAAGTGAATTAATATCAAGCAACATCTTCAACACCAAGAGAAACTCATCAAACCTGTTAACAAACATTCCATTTGTTTCTTTTTAATAGATCATATCTAAATGAATGATTGTTGCCCAGAAATACTATATTTAAGATATTTCTTAAGAAAAGGTCTTTCTATGTGTGAGTGTTTACAACCATGTGAATGTGTGCGTATATGCTCTTACCTTAGTAAAATGATACACACTTATATGGATGACAATAATCATGTGTACATTTACCATATTGTTCTTAAAAGCATGTTCATTGTATGAATGTTAATTGATCTATAAGAACTGATTAAAACTTTAGTTAACTATTTTATTTTTGTCAAAGCTGTTTCAAAATTTTTTGTTTGTTTTTTCTATATATTTGTTCTTTTTTTGTTGTTTTTCCTATCTCAGTGTCTCTAATAATTGCATGAAATTGTGTCACCTTTTCTGGTATTTTAGCCTCTATTTCTCAGCTGTTTCATGAATATTTAGAAGTAAATGTCTCTAGCATTTTTCCCACCTCTTGAGAGATTATTACATTGAGTATTGTCCATGCATTTTTTTCTTCTAGAAAAGGTAATTAGGGCTTTTAGAACTAATATCATTGAATAAGGACAGATGTGGAGAACAAAAATGAGGGGAAGGAAGGAAGGAAGGAAGGAAGGAAGGAAGGAAGGAAGGAAGGAAGGAAAAAAGTGAGGAACATAGGGAAATGAAAGAAGGAAAGAAACAGAAAGTAAAACAGATGTGAAAGGAAGGAAGAAAGGAAGGAAGGAAGGAAGGAAGGAAGGAAGGAAGGAAGGAAGGAAGGAAAAAGTGAGGAACATAGGGAAATGAAAGAAGGAAAGAAACAGAAAGTAAAACAGATGTGAAAGGAAGGAAGGAAGGAAGGAAGGAAGGAAGGAAGGAAGTTATATAAGGAGGAAAACAGAATATAGAAAGAATGAGAAAGAAATGAAATTCAGTGCACCATGGAGATGGCCTTGGGCCAGAATTGGTTTAATGTATATATAGAAGAAGAAGAGACAATATAAAACTGAATTTAGGAGAATAGAATAGATACATGAATAGATTGAGAGAAAATGACTGTAATAGACAGATAGATAGATAGAGAGAGAGAGAGAGAGAGAGAGAGAGAAGGAAGAGAGATGTGAACAAATTGAGATAGAAAAAGACAGACAGATACAAAATAATTGAGTTAAATACAAACTAATGTACTTAAAATAGATAGCTAAATAGCTAGTGAACTAGATAGATAGGTATGAAGTGACTGAGATATAAATGGTTTAAATTATATATATATATATATATATATATATATATATATATATATATATATGTTGATAGATATGTAAAAGTGATATAGCTATGAACATATTGATATAGATAGCACTGAACAGATTGAGATAGATAGATAGATAGATAGATAGATAGATAGATAGATAGATGTGAATAGACTGAGATAGAGAGCTATGAACAATTTGCAATAGATAGAAAGATATGAAAATACTGAGATAGATATGAAGAGACTGAGATAGATAGATAGATAGATAGATAGATAGATAGATAGATAGATATGAAAAATGAGATATATATGAATAGTGAGATAGATAGGTAGATATGAAGATACTGAGATGGATATGAAAAGACCAAGATAGATAGATAGATAGATAGATAGATAGATAGATAGATATGAAAAGTGAGATAGATATAAATTGTGAGATAGATATCAAAAGAGAGATAGGTATGAAAAATGAGATAGATATGAAAAATGAGATACATAGATGGGAAAAGTAATATAGTTATAAAAGCAGGATACATATGAAAAGTGAGATAGATATGAAAAGTGAAATAGATAGATAGATAGATAGATAGATAGATAGATAGATAGATAGATCAAAACTTTGAGGAATGAAAGGGAAATCAAGGATGAAAAAAGTCAGTTGAATAAAGAATTTTCAAAAAAAAAAAAAAAAATAATTTTAAAATGGAATATATGAAAAATAAACAAAAAAGAAGAAAAATTCATGAGAAAGCAAAGAACAAATTCAGAAAAATGTCATAAAAAATTACAAAGAATAGTTAAAAAAATAAACGTGTGAATGACATACAAAACCACAAAGAATATCAAACAGAAGAAAAATGAAAATTTCAGAAGAAAATGTAAAGAAAAAGAAAAATGAATAAAAAAATATAAATTTAGAAGAAGAAAAATAAAGTAAAAAAAATAAATACATGAAGAAAATATGAAATAAAAGAAAAAGTAAATTAAACTGGAGCAAAATGAAGGAAAGCAAGAAAGAAAATGGAACGAACAATGACGCAAATAATGAAGGAAAAAATATCAGAATGTTAGCCATATCTTGGAGGAAAATGATTAAGATTTTACAGCTAATAAGTGCTAAGAGGTCTTTGTGAGTTCCTGCCAACAATGGTCGATGAAGCGCACTGAGTTTGTCACCAGAATGACAATGTCAACATACTTTGGCAGTCAGGAGTGCAAGAGAGATGACAACGAAGAAGCATCAAGAAAGAAACACACTGCAGAAAGTAAAGATATACAAATAAAATGAAAAGAAAAAAAAAATGAAAAGTACAATAAGATAATTTCATTTTATTTATATTTCTTAGGCATTTTTGATTTTTACTAACATTTCTTTTTTATCATCTATTTCTTTTAAGTCTTCATTATTTTACAGATATCTTCTTTTTAACATTTTTTGTCTTTTTAATGATATTAAGTTAGCCACCTTTCCCTTCATGACGCCTCCTTGTAATTTTGTTAGTGATGGTTGTCACACAGATGATGCTGCTTTGACTGTCATTTGTCTAAATATAACACTTTCACCTCAGGCTGATATACGTTTTCAGATTAATTTGAAAACCTATACTGATTGTGAATGCACTTCAGGAAGGGAGACAAATGAAAGAAAGAAAATAAAAAATAAAACTTAACAGAAGGAATAAGAGAATTAAAAATAAGATAATTATTTTTACAAGTAAAAAGGAAAGATTATAATATGTCCGAGAAGGGAACAAAATAAAATAATATTCTGATTGCAAACGGGGCAAGAAAATTGTGGAGAATAGGGAAGCGAAAGAGATATTAATAGAAAGGAAGAATGAATGAATGAATGAATGAATGAATGAATGAATGAATGAAGAAAGTAATAAAATGCAAAACAGAAAGAAAAGGTGAAGGAAAAAAGAAGGAACGAATTAAAAAAAAAAGAAATGAAAAAAATAATGGGAAAAAAAGAAGCACACAAGCAAAATAAAGGAAGAAAGAAAATGAAAGAGAGGAATGAGGCTAGAAAGAAAGAAAGAAAGAAAGAAAGAAAGAAAGAAAGAAAGAAAGAAAGAAAGAATATGACTAAAAAGAAAGAAATAAAGATCCCATAAGTTAGGGAACATAACTGAAAAGAAAGAAAAACTGAATGTGGCTGGAAAAAAAGAAAGAAAGAAAGAAAGAAAGAGTAGAAGAAGCAGAGAAAAGAGGAAACATGACTAAAAAGAAAGAAAGAAAGAAAGAAAGAAAGAAAGAAAGAAAAAGTAGAAGAAGCAGAGAAAAGAGGGAACATGACTAAAAAGAAAGAAAGAAAGAAAGAAAAAAAGAAAGAAAGAAAGAAAGAGTAGAAGAAGCAGAGAAAAGAGGGAACATGACTAAAAAGAAAGAAAGAAAGAAAGAAAGAAAGAAAGAAAGAGTAGAAGAAGCAGAGAAAAGAGGGAACATGACTAAAAAGAAAGAAATAAAGAAAGAAAGAAAGAAAGAAAGAAAGAGTAGAAGAAGCAGAGAAAAGAGGGAACATGACTAAAAAGAAAGAAAGAAAACGAATGTGGTTGAGAAGAAAGAAATAAAGAAAGAAATAAAGAAAGAATGAAAGAAAGAAAACGAATGTGGCTGCAAAAATGAAGAAAGAAAGAAAGAAAGGAAGGAAAAAAGAGAAAGAAAACATGACTAAATGAATGAAAGAATGAAGGAATAAAGAGAAATAAGGCAATGTGACTAAAAAGAAAGAAAATGAATGAGCTTGAAAAGAAAGAAAAAAGAAGGGAGAATGAAGAAAGTAAGTGAAAGAATGAAAGAAGGGAATGTGATTAAAAACAAATGAAGAAAGAAGAGAGAAGAAGTTTTCAAAATGACTATCAAAAAAGAAAGAAAGGGAATGTGACTGAAAAGAAAGAAGAAAAGAAAAAAGTAAAGAAAGAAGAAAAGAAAGGATGGAATTTGTTTGAAAAGAAAAAGATGTCACAAAATACCTCTCAATAAATAGAGGTGAATGGAATTGAAAAATAAAAAAATAGAAGGAAAATGAAAGAAAAGAAATTAACTACAAAGCCAGGCAATGGCTATGTTCTGTTTTATGAATAATCCATTTAAATTTGATTACCATGCCACAAGGCTGTGGTCAACAAGCTGGTTAATTTTATTTAAAACTCAAATTTTGCATTTATATTATAGCAGCCTTTTGATAGTAAACATAGCATGCAAATATGAATATTTCTATGCGTATGTACATATGTATGTGTGTGGTATGATTTTCAGGTACTTTCCAAAGGTGCCGCATGCTATTTTAACCACTTTTATTCCTCGGCAATGTTTCTTGTTTTAAAAACTGATGATTAGAATTTTAATAAAACCTAAACATATGATGAAAGTGAATTTCTACATTTTCTTTGTTCTGGAGACTTTACAATAAAAATAATAAATACTATTTATTTATTAGATTGTTTACTATTTATTTATTATATTATTTAATGAAATGGTTGGAAAAACATTGACTAATTGCCAATTGATTCAAACTTTATAAAATGGTAAATAATAAGAATTCTCTTATAGTTGATTCACATACTTTAATAATTTAGTAAATTTTTATAAATTTATGAATAAAAAATTTCATATTCATTTATTTATAAATTAGTATATGATTAATATTGCATTGCATTAGTTTTAATACAATTGCATTAGATTTAAAATATTGTAAATATAAAATTATTCTTGTAAATAAACAGCTTAATAAATAAATAGGGAATAATATTTTTGTTGTAAATTCTCAAGAACAAAATAAAAGATGTATGAATTAAGTTTCATATGTTTAGGTTTTATGACAATTCTAATCATCACTTTTTAAACCAATAAACATTGCCGAGGAGTGAAGGTAGTTAAAATAATAGTGGTGTTAAGGGAAAAACTGTCCTTTTGAAACTGTTTTTGTGGGCATGAAGTTCCATGCTTGCCAAGTATTCAATGAGGAAAAAAGAACTATTCTTATATTATTCAAACATATATTTCAGCTTTAAATAAGACACAAAGGGTTGATAAGACATAAAATAAATCTATCAAACAATCTTTGTTTTCTTCTTTATTTTCAAGTGCATCCATGCTTTCATAATTTTCTGTATTATTCCCTTCTTTCTTTCTCTCTTTTTCTCTTTCTTTCTCTCTTTTTCTCTTTCTTTCTTTTTGAAAATCTTCACTTCTTTTTTCATTAGTTCTTACATTTATTTATTCTTACCTTTCAGTACATTCTTTCTTTCTTTCTTTCTTTCTTTTCAATTACATTACCTTCTTTCTTTTTTATTTAGAAATTTCTTTCTTCTTTCTTTCCAATCATATTCTCTCTTTCTTTATTTTTCTCACGCACATTCTTTATTTTCTAAAACATTTCCTTCTTTATTTCTTTCTTTCTTTATTTTCAATCATATTCTTTCTCTCCTTCCTTCCTTTTTTCTGTCTCACATTCTTTATTTTCAAAAACACTTCCTTCTTTTTTCTTTTCAACCATATTCCTCTATTTCATTCCTTCTTTCTTTCTTTCTTTCTTTCTTTCTTTCTTTCTTTCTTTTCAATCAGTTTCTTTTTTTCTGCTCTCTTTTTAATCATATTCCTTTTTCTCTTTCCTTCTTTTTTATCTTTCTCTCTCACATTCCTTCGTTCTTTCTTCCCCCCTCACAGTATAAATATCTCTTTTTCTCTCACTCTCTCTACAAGAAAATTGCTTCCCCTTCATTACATTTCCTTCTCCTTCCACTACTTTATATCATTATCAGTTTATTTAAATGTTCTTTCTTTCTTACATTAATCCCTTTCTTTCTCTTTTTAGTTATCTCTCTTTCTCCCCAACTGGCTTTTTGTTCTTCTTTTAATTTATTGTCTCTCCTTATCTTTTTTTCTATTATTTTCTCTATTGTTCTGGAGACAAAAGTTTCTTCTAGAAGTGCTGGACATACCAGTTGTGCCCCTTTTGGTTGAAGAATTTTGTAGTGAACGAGATAATCAAGTACCCCGGTAAAAAGTTCGTGTTTTGTGTGCGATCTGCTGGGGAGGGATTGCCAAAAAGTAGTCAGCAAAACTCTTATAGCGACTTACCTCGTCAACCCAAGCGACAGAGCGTCACGTGTATTCTGGGACAAAAAAGAAACAAGTCCGTCGCAGGAGTCGCTATAAGAGGATATTAATATGCAAATTACGGAGCATCCTATCCCGGCTGTCGACGAATTGAAAAAATAGGTTCTGCCGATAAAAGCAGTTGGTGTTGTTGACTCGGGGAAGGAAAAAATTTGGGCAGTTTTGGCTATGGCGTTCGTGAGTTATTTTCCTGACGTGTTACAAGTGATTTTTTTTCGTTGTGTTGTGAAAGCCACAAATTTGCTTTGAGAACGCTTACACTTCAAGCTATTTCGGCGTTTACTTTGTCTCTCGCAAGATGGCGGAAAGACTGTTCGATATAAAACTGATCCCCGAATTCAGTGGTGATACTAGTGGACAGTCTGTGGTTGAATGGATCGAAAAGGTGGAACTGGTCTGCGAATTATGCGAGATCACGAAGATTGATCGGATTCTTCCTCTGCGATTGAATGGCGGTGCCCTTGCTGTGTATAGGCAGCTGAGTAAAGAACAGAAAAGTGACATTGAGCAAATAAAGCACGCTCTACTAACCACGTTTGGAACTGACCGGTTCGTGGCCTACGACCAATTCCAGGCACAGCGTCTGCGACCTGGCGAGACAGTTGACGTATCTGTACCTACATAGTGACGCAAGTCCTTTATGTGTCTTGGTAGGCCATCAACCAGCACAGAATGCTTACACTTCAAATTTTTAAGAAACTTCTGTTAGAAATGGTAAACAGGTGCTAACATATATATTTAGATGATCAATGGACAACTAAGACATACTTACTCATAAAAGTTTTATTTATTCTGTCAAGCTACCTTGGACATTCCTGTGTCTATCACACCAACTATCATGAAGGTCAAAAAGAGACATTCTGTGTTATAATATAGGTGGTCAATGTAGGTGATTGTTGGGTGACTAACACATCTTGCTTTATGGCTAGGTATCCAGAACAGTAGAGCACTTGTGACTTTTTGCTTTGCTTGCTAGCAGTATCCTACAAAGCACATCTCGTGCGTAAGACTAATTTGTGTACATTGTACTTGCAACCAAACTGGACATCCTTTATTCAACCCCAAGGCTGTAAAATTATTCACAGCAACTTTTCTTTGGGTCAGTTTCAAGCTTGGCACCAGACTCAACATCTCACCCAAAGACTAAAAAATTCTTATACAGAACAATTTTTTCAGCATTCCTATAGCTGAACTGCTATGTAAGTATATTGTGCCTATAAGATTTTTGAGTGCTGTGTCCTTACAGGACATTGGTGATCATAGCTCTCCACAATTTCCTACCTCATGTTGCATTAACCAATGTATGTATATTATGCATATAAGATTTTTAAGTGCTGTGTCCTTACAGGGCATTGGTGATCATAGCTCTCCACAATTTCCTACCTCATTTAGCATTAAACAATGTTTGTGTATTGTGCATATAACATTTTTATGTGCCATGTCCATACAGGACATTGGTGATCATAGCTCTCCACAATTTCTTATCTTATGTAGCATTAACTAATGCATGTATATTGTACATATAGAATTTTTATGTGCCATGTTTCTACAGGACGGTCGTGATCATAGCTCTCCACAATTTCCTACCTCATTTGGCATTAAACAATGTTTGTATATTGTGCATATAACATTTTTATATACCATGTCTATAAAGGACATTGGTGATCATAGCTCTCCACAATTTCCTACCTCATTTAGCATTAATCAATGTTTGTCTCTTAACAACTGCTCTGTTCCCATTCTGCCATTCATCAGTGCAAGCTTGCTTGGTAGGTTATTTACTGTTCCCCTTTGTGTGTATACATGTGTACTTATGTGTATTTGATATTGTATATTTGACTGTTTGAAGCAAAAATTCTGGGACAATTCCAATAAGTGCCAGATTTGAAAGCATACAATTTTCGTTGATATGAAATTGTGCTGGGATCAATAATCCATATTCTACTATAAAGACCATGTCATCTCTTGCAGAGCCAGTATTAGAAAGAGTATATCATTGATACCAAACACAAAAATAGACTACAAGAAAGAGTACTGAATTGTTATGCAATATCAGTCCTATTATATGACAATGAATGCTGCACAATCTCCTCACAGAAGGTAGTAAAGGAAAGCAAGAAGAAAGGATTAACATCAATTGCAAGAAGACAAAATGCACGGTTGTCAGCAAAAGGAACAGCTCAACATTCAAATTACAAATTGGAGATAGCAAAATCAAAAAAGTACAGCAATCTATCAGGGAGGAGTTTTTTTTTTCAGAGTATGGAAAGTGTGACACTGAAATCTGAAGAGGCATAAGTATAGAGAAAGATGCCTTCCAAATGCTAAGCAAAGTATTTCAAATAGGAAAATTTTATTAGAAAAAAGAAAGAGTACTGAACTGTTATGTAATACCAGTCCTACCAAATGCCAGTGAATACTGTACAATCTCCTCACAGATAAAGAAGTGACTTGAAGCAAAAAAAATGTGACTCTACAGAAGCATGATGAGAATATCATGAACTGAACATGCGAGCAACGATGATGTTTTAGAGAAAATGGAAACAAATAGTACACTTATGCTTAACATCAGAAAGATCAGTGGACAATTTCAGGGTACATGATGAGAAAAAAGGGCTTGGAAAATTTGTTACTCACAGGACATACTGAACGCAAGAGGGAGAAATGAAATCAATGCATAACCTTCCTAGCAAGCTTCAGTAAATGGATGGTAGAACAGAGTTTAAGAAAGATAACAAAAAGATAAAATTTATTAAGTGCTACAAGCGACAGGAAATTGAAGAAGAAAGAGTATGAAGAAAATGATATTCAAATCCCATGATGAATCAAATACTGACACCTATAAGTATGGATTGTCGGCTTGGCATAAGATGGAAATAGAGTCCATAGAGAATTACCAAAACAGAATTTTAAAACAGTTTAGAAACATATCATATACTTATGTAGGATTTAGTTTGTGTCTGTTATTATTTAGATTTGATTAACAGTATTAATAAAGCTTATTCTATACACATGAAGATACATACTAAAAGAAATATTCTGAATCAGGCATACATAATATAATCTGTAACAATTGTTCCTTACAATATATTGGTGAAACTTACAGAAATTTAAAAATGAGTGAATTTATGAAAATAAGAAAGGTCTCCTATATAACAATTTATCCAATATACAGAAATAATTTCAATCACAATTTTAATCTAAAATATGTCGTACTTACTAAGACAGAAAATAACTTACTAAGACAAAAACTTCTCAAAAGTGCAATAATTGATACTTGCCTGAAGGAACAAAATACATTGGTAGAAAAAAGGTTTTTCTCTTATCTCTTTCAATATTGTCTTTATAGATACATTTATTTATATCAGAATTTTGTATATACATACATATACCATATCTAGTCACATATCATGTAACTTTTGAAGACCTAATTTTGAGACTAATTTTAAGGGGGTTTGCATCATATCTCTTATTTCTTTTATTAATCAAGCTTTCAAACAAACATTTATACACACACACACACACACACACACACACACACACACACACACACACACACATATATATATATATATATATATATATATATATGTGATTGGTGTAGATGGAATAAAATTCAAATAACCAAAAACACTATTCTTAAAAAAAGTGCTCAATACAGAGTAGAGCAAATATTATTTATTCAAAAATTATATCATAAACATGTTATAAAATCACTACAAAAATACATTATTATACATGGTTAAAAAAAGTGAGACATTAGAAATTTTATTATGACAAAAAGAATAAAAAGCATTTTATGATTAAATTTTGCTCGTATCAGAGTATCCTCCTGTAGCCTTGATTATGGCAGCACAAATTTTTGGCATTCACTGAAAAAGTTTCTCAAAGTATAAGCTTGATAATTGATTCCATTCTTTTTCAATGACTCTAAGAGCATTTCATCATTGTCTTTTTTTTTTCACTCTTCTGCCAAGTTCATCTCATGCCAACTTTTAAACTTTAGTATATATATATAATAATGGACTCTCCCATTGGTTTCGACGTATGAGGATCTGACAGCTTATTGATTCAGTTATGAAATTTTGTGTGATAATCTTAAGTGGCATTTAAGACCCGCTAGTGATTTACAAAGGAGGCCACATATGGAGCAAGTGTTAGGATTGTGAGATGAGATCACTGTTAGATTAGCTGACCTTTTAGATCTTGCTCTAGCTTCTTGAAGATGATTCAGACAAGCAGATTGAAAATTGCTGAGTCCACTAAAACATGTTGCTCTCCATTCTACCTGCTCCAAAGCTAAGTGCTCTATATAAGGCTAAGTGCTATATATACACACACACATATATATATATATATATATATATATATATATGATTAAAATGAAAGATGGTCCATGTGTGCTTCTTATAATATGTTGATTTATTAGGCCTGTTAATGAAATTTTGGGAATAAAAAGACAACAAAATGATACAAATATTTGCAATAACATTGATCATATTTATAATATATTATAAATTACAACTTTAAAATCTTTCCCTTTGTGCTTCAATTTAGTTTAATAATGTAGAGATACTTCATCAACATGTCATGGACATCTGAAAAACTATTCAACATGGTGTGGGAGTATTTGAAAGGGTCCGCCAGTTAATATTTTGACAGGAGCATTCATGTATGGAAGCAAGTGGAGGACATATTTAACATTTGTTGAGATGCTTTCTTGAGGTACAATGATGGCCTTTTAAACATATGTTTGTATGGACATTTTACCTTGTCTTCATGTTGGAAACCTGTCCCCAAAATTTGTAAATGGATATTTTATACACCTTATATATGTATGCATG